GGGTATAAACCAGACTGTGTCATATTCCTGCAGTCAGGATAAGGACACCATTCTGAAAACACCTCTTTGCATTTCTTGCCAGCACCTATTCACCTGAAAAAAACCCCAATGATTTTCATGCAGAGATTTATAATAACTTGAAGAGGAAAACATCATTCTCAATGCCTCAGTACCGCAAGTCCTGAACTTCTCATCTTATTGTTAGACACAACTGCCTTCTTTCCCCTCCTTCTCATTTTAACAGAAGCAACAGTATTTAATTTAATCCACCCAGAAGCAATGACAGAGTCAGCAGCTGATATACAGCTAGTGCTGGTTAGAACTCTGAATTACTGTTTTGTGAAGAATGTCAACATTTTGACATTTGTTGCTATTCTCAGGGTAGAAAGGAACTGCATATTCGTCTCGAAATTTTGAAATGTCACACTGAACTCGCAGATTCAACTCTGAATTTCAGAATTTCACATTCTATTTCATTTTACATTGGCTTTCAGTCTTTTTTAATTCATTAAATGCCAAAGTAGAATATTTTAAATCACCCTTTTTAATTTTACTTTGGATCGCTTTATTTGAGCATATTAAAACTATGGGAAGCCACTGTCCCACACTGACAGAAAAACAAACTTCAATCATCATTTTATACTGGCTCCAAATCCCATCCATTGAAAATTTTTGATACGTGACTTTTGTGAAGACACTTGGGTAAAAGCATAAAATTTTGGGTGAGAAGACACTTTGGGGGAAGCAAGCAATGCAAAGCAAGCTGCCTGCCTTTCTCCACAAGTCAAAAGCAACACTAGGGAAGGAATATATCCCTGTGACAGCAGGAGGGAATCTGGCAGACTGCTTTTATTCATCTGCAGAGAAGGAAAAGTTTCTAGTCACTAAATTAACAGCAAACAGCAAGAGAATTAGTCTCAGCTCCAACACAAGTGCTGGAGGTATCTCCTTTATGTGAGTGATAGCAGCCTGTAAAAATTATTAAACCAGTGCAAGAGAAGTGCATCAGTCATAGTGAAGGACACTGGTGAGCAGATGTTTCTGAGGCAAAGATGAAACTTCCAAGTGAATGTCTCCATCACAGGTATTAAACCAATGGAAAAACTGACAAAAGCTGTGTAAAACGAGAAAACAGAGAGCCATCACAGTCCCTTTCGGGCATTGCAAGCTGCATGAGACCACGTCAGGGCTGGGTGCAGCAGGAGGCAAAAAAATCACCTCCAGCAGTGCGGAAACCACGCGGTGGCTGAGGTCTGCTGGTCACGAGCAGCCACCACCACCTATGCCACAACCATGAGCTGCCTCATTAAATCCTCCTGGTTTACAGCTGTCTCCCCACTTTTCATGGTGCTCACCTGGAAAGGTGTGCAAAACTGAAGGGCTGTCTGAAGAGGAGGCCATGCTCCATATGAACTGATGCCTCTGCAGGTGTGAATGGGGATACTGCAAGCTGTGGCTGACCAGGTTAAGGAACTTGGGCACTTGTGCCATGTCTGGGAGAACAGACACTGCTACCAAAGGGACATTGCTCCCTTTCTCCTCCCAGCAAAATCTGCAGCAAAGAAACATGGATTTGGATGCCATACCAAATCAGAGCTACAAGACACTTCTGTCCTCACCAAATTGTTAAATTGCTCTCAAGAGATCAATGTTTTTGTTAATATTTCCATCATTTTGGAACAGAGCCACAAAGTTGTCTCACATGGCTTCAGTGGTACCTGGTCTATATGTTGAAAACATGAAAGGTCCCTTCAGGAAGGAATGTGCTTCCCAGAGCCTATGATTAGAATTAGGAGAATAGCTGGGATCTAGGAAGAACAGATCTCCCAGAGCAATCCCTCAAAAACACCAGGAGATACATGAGGTCCCTAAAAGGTCCACTAATCTGCTTGGGGCATATGATAGTGCCTCAAAAATGCTCAAACATGACCAAAACCAGTTCAAGGGCCTAAAACTATTTGGAGATATGAGAACACAACAGGGGTTTTCGGTGTCTTAACCAGTCCAGCACAGAAACATTTGGTGATAGGTGAGCTGGTCGGTGGTGGGAATTTACCAGTCCTGCTTTGGCCACAGGGCAAAGTCCTGGGAATACTCCACATCAGAAACTGGTTTTGTCATATGTCTGCTATGGACATGCTGGTGCCAGAAATGAGCATGCCTAATGAGCCACCCTGGCATTGTGCCCTCTGCCTTTGGGAGAGGAGTAGTTAAGAGAGAGGCTTCAGATTTTGACTTGGCCTGAGCAGGCACAGAAAGAGCATGAGAGAAGCCAAATGGTCTCATGAGAACTCTGCTACTGCTCCTACAGAAGTCCCCACCACCCACCATCCAGAAGAGAAAGCTCCTGAGGTTTTTTGGCTGTTGAAGCACATGAAGGTTTAAACGAGGACATGCACTCCACCAGATCATTTCCTAACTAGGACTTGGGCACTAATGCTAGACAGGGTGCTGCAAAAGACTAAAATGCCCAGAGGCTTCACATGCATGGCTCCATAAGTGGCCCAAGGACAGAATGCAATGTGGAATTGTGTGTGAAAACTCATTGTTTTCAGCAAGCTTTAAGAATCAGTACAGATTATTTGCTGTTCCCATACCAATCCAGATTTATTTTGGATCAGCAGCAACTTCAACATTATTAGTACACAGCAAAAAACACAGAGCCACAGTGTCATGAACCACTTCCTAGCCAGAATGACAAATAAAAACCTTTTTTTTTTACCCTTTAAAAACATGAAACAAATTTAATGAAAGACTTTGCCTCTCACAGTGATGGATCATGGTATATGTTAGAATTAAGAACCATGAACTTTTAATCTGAGATGGATTTGCTACAACATTCTTAAAAATTTGTACACAAACTGTGTTCAAGATTAGGCATGCACTTTTCTGAATACATTTAAAAATTGTTCGATATTTTAAAACCATTCCCTTGCAAGAAGAAAAATTCCTAAAGGTCATCTTACATTTTATGTGATATGTATTAATGCTTCTTACCCTTTCTGTTTCCTTAACTGAAAGGTCTCAAATCAACCTTGAAAAGGCAAAACACAACCAAATGCAGAATCACGTGTGTATGTTGGAAAAGATGTTAAAATTTATATGCTAGCCAAGTCAAATTACAGTGACAATTCTTCCTAACACAGCTTTTTTTTCCCCTTTTAAATAAAATAATTCCCAAAGTTGATTTAATGAATGAGTTATTGTGCAAAGGAAGAGAACAGCACGTGGTAAGGCTGGACAACACTGCTTTGAAAGCAAAGCCCGGCACCAATATGTTACAGAAGATTTGTAAGCTCAAAAGTGAAACAGGTAAGAAACAGCTATTTAGCAGGTTGGAAGAGAAAGAAAGTTTCTGGAGGGGTTTATCATCAAGCAGATGACAGTCTGTTCTGCAGAAGAACTGAAATTATTTTTTATAGAGATACTTGTGAAGTATTTCTGTATGTGTATTTGCAAATGCCACGTGCACACACACCAACATGTATATACAAATATATATAGGCATACATGAAACCCCCAACTTGAGCTAAATTAAATTGTCCGTCCAGCTTTGTAATGCAAATGAGACTAACAGGCTTGTGCTGTTTGTGGTTTGAGATGATTTGCGTTTCCATAGAGATGCTGACTGAACTACAGTTTTTAAATTTTTTATATATATAAGACTACTTGTATCTATAAAAGTCTAAATATGGATCTGCTATACCTCAGCATTTCCTCAGTGACTCCACTGGAACCACAACCATTTACACCAGTTAAAGCTATGTGCAAATTTTGCATCTTTCGCTACTTTTCAATCTAAGCTCTGTACCAAGTACCTGCAGAGCTGAGAGTTTATTGCTTCTCTCCCTACTTCAAAGGTTTTTGTTAAGGAAGGAGAAAAAAAGAGAAAAGGCAGTTTCTTAGCTGCTCATAGATAATATTTCAAGGGCTTCTGTAATTTCTTTCCCTCTCTAAACTGCCTTGAGAAACATCTTCGCCGTTCAGAGTTCCCACTGTCAGGAAACCTGGAATTCAGGGAAGACCATCTGTGTGCTGTTAGAGAAGGAAATTACTAAGGGACAGGTTTTCTGTTATGTATCTGAAGCTTTTTCCCCTTTCCCTGTGAGCACCCACAAACTCAAGAGCATGGATGTGCTCAGACATGCCAAGGTGGGCCTGGGCAGCATCATTAACTCCCTACCTCACTCTTTTTGTTTTGTCATACACAATGAGGGCCCCACAAAGCTAAAAGACCTCCCAGAGCCACATTAGAGATGGTCACCAGGAGAAGTGACAAAAGCCAGGCAGGATCAGCTTGGGAAGAGAAACAAGGCAGACCCACTTTAACTTTCTATTTCAAACTGACTTCACTTTATGAGGGCCAGGCACTTGTTGAAGTGGATGGGGGCCGCCCGGTGTACCAACATTGGAGAGGAAAACCAGAGCCGAGCTCTGTGGGGACTCATTTCCATGTGGTTTCAGTGATAAGTGATCTTTGAACAGCCACACACCAGAGGACAATCTCTGCAATCACTCTGAACCACAATCAAAACCAGCCTCTCGTGTACCTCCCATCTGCCTGAGGACAGCAAGGATTAATTGTTGAACCAGGGATGTCCACAAGTACATAAAGCAGCCTCTCACTTCATCTTGGGAGTGCCCAGAAGAAAAGCCTCCTGCTGAGCGATGCCTTACAGAGGCATGGCCAGGGAGCTCCTTGGGCAACAGAATGTCACAGGGACAAAGCCTCCCTCCCTCCCATGGGCTGACACCATGCTTCTGCATGTGACACCATCTCACTACTTGAGGCTTACAGTATTTCTAAGCCCCTGCAGAGGTTCTTTTCAAAGCAGATGAGAGCTCCCTATTTCCAGCCTTTAAAAAGCCATATGTAGGGAGATCTGCCCCACACCTCTGATAGCACCGCCTTAACCCCCACCACCTTTCAGGGAGTGTCCCAGGCCACATTCAGCCATGTGGCTCTCCTAGGAATATCAGCGTCCGCTGGCATCTCTTACCTTCTGCTGCAGGGCGGGCGGCTGCGGGGCCAGCACTGGGTCAGTGATGTAGGTCTTCTTCGTGCCCTGTGGCTGGTAGAGCCCAGGGGGAGCCTGGCCCATGGCATTACTCGCAGGATACGCAGGCTCAGCCTTCCAGGAGCTCTGCGGCACGTAGGGCGCCTCGGAGCCGTTCCTGCCACCGTACCCCCCGTAGTAGGGATCCTGGTAGCGGCCCTGCGGGGGCGCGTATCCGTAGGCGGGCTCGGCAGGCCGGCCGGGCGGAGGGCCGTAGCCGTAGCTGGGCCCCTGGGGCTGCGGCGCTCCGTACTGAGGGCCAGCGGGCTGGCGGGACGGCGCGGTGGCGTAGGGCTGGCCGGGCCCCAGGCTGCCGTAGTGCCCGGGCTGCTGGCTGGGCGGTTGGTAGTGCGGGCTGGGCTGCGCCGTCCTCACCTGCACGTTGAAGGCCGGGCGGCTCGGAGTGGAGGCCGTGGCGTAGGAGGCCGGCACCGGCTGCGGCTTCAGGGTGCCAACGGGAGTGACCGGGATGGGCGCTGGCTGCCCCGGGCCCTTGGCAGTGGACTTCTTGGTGGCGGTGAGGGGAGGCTGGTTGGGGATGATCATCCGCTTGTGGCCAGTGACAGGAGTGGACACGGATGGGGTGGTGGCAGCGGAGCTGCTTGAGGTCCCAGAGCCCTGGAGAGTGAGGAGAGAGACACAAGGTCAGCAGGAGAGGCCACTCGGGCAACAGGTCAAGCAATGAGGGTGGGAATGGGGGTTTACAGAAACACCTGTGCAGCAACTCAAACTGCTTGTGAAAGCAAGAATAACCTAGAGCCACACGTTACAGAATGGTTATAGCAACCTTCCCCTGCTCTGACAGAACAGGGACGGCAACCACAGCAGCAGAGCAGAACTGCCGTGCATGGCATTTCATCTCTCCTTGGAGGCTTCTCCTACGCCTCCAAGCAAACAAACAAATTAAAAAATGATACACGCAAAAAAAAAAAAAAAAAAAAAAAAAGGATTCTCGCCAGAGGATAATTAGGGAAAACCCCATGCATTCCTGTGAAAATGAATCTGTTTTGAAAAAGAGAGAAAATGAGATTATAGTCTCTATGGAGACACGAAATTCGCTGGGTCCCTAGAGCACTTGTAGGGTTCTGCCCCAATACAGGAACTCCTTTAACTGTGCAGGAGGCAGCAGATTGGGATAGTCTGCAAGCAGGTCCCAGGCTGTAAGAATGAACTCTGATCAAAGCAAATCACTGAGGTGTCCCTACCCTGGCTGTACTGGTTGAACACCTGGAATGACCCCAGAAAAGTTAAATGCTACACATGCTTCATTAAAGGGCAGAAAGTGGGTCAGGATTTCCAAGAGCTTCAGAAGTCAGCTCCTACCATGGCAGCCATGTAACCACTGCCCCAGGCACAGCAATGCTGGGGCAGCCAGGGAAGAGGATCACAGCAAATGCTGTTGCTTCCTTAAATTTGGCCATGGAATGAGGCTTTGTTGCAGCGACGCTGTTTAACAGGCATCGTACATCCTTCAGTCTAGTGTACTTGCTTGTCTGGCTTACCTCACATTTAAATGTTTAAAAACACCAGTGTGAAAAGACATCTTTGTTAAAGAGCTAACAATGTGAAAGTTTCTAAAAAACACTCACCAACACTCTTTATGTCTTCTCACTACATCAGAGAAGAGTAAACTTGAATTTCTAGAGTTTAGGATTAGGAATAATTTCTTGCTTCTCTGTTTTCCTTTATTCTAAAAGAATACCTGAATTGTGTGCCTTCTATGGAGAAATGCATTAAAGTGAAGACATGCAGTTTTACAGCACTTAACACCATACTTATATGAGGTATATCTCATTCAAACTTCCTGTACCAGACTTGATCTCATCCATGATCTGCTTGATAATCTGCAAGTTCACAGCAGCCCAAAGGCAGACCAGCTCAGCCTTTACCTATGCTTATGTGCACTCTAAGGCATGTGACACCTTTAAAGGACCTGTATTTGTCCCCAGGTGTTCCTGTTTATGCACGCACCCTGACCTCCACCTACTGCTCCACCACCATGCCCTTGGTGGGGAGGGCATGGTGAGCACTCTTTGGGACCTGCACAAGCTCTACTGGGGCCAGAGAAATCCTGTGCCTGGTCAGCAGGTGGCGGCAATTAATTGCTGCCAAACCGCCCGGGGGGGCTGGGGGAACTTCAGCCAACTTGAGCCTCCAAGGGTTCCAAACTCATGCTCTGTATGGGGTGGGAGAAACTCATCCTCTTACAGGGCGGCTGTGCCCCCCCACATTTGGTAACCACCTCACACTAAGCAAAAAAAGGTAAGTGCAAGCCACTCAATTTCTAGTGCACAGCCTACAAGCAAGTCTACCCAAGGGATAAGGAAGCTCTACCACCCAACTGGCAGCTCTTCCCTGGTGATGTGCAAATACTTTTTTGCTGATGCACTGGTAAAGACCTTACTCCTGCAATCACACCTTCAGGGCAAACCTCCCACAAGGAAACACTATAAATCAGCAAAAAACCCCAGGCAAATAAGAGCATCAGTCTGTTCTGAAAGGTGTGAAAGGTGTGCATTCAGAAGTGGGGAATAATAAGGCAGCAAACTTCTGCTGAAGGAAAAACATCTCAATGTGTTCACACCCTGACCTTGCTAACAGGTCCATGACAAGGCAGCACATAGACAGACAGAAGAGATTTTCAAACTGGGAGCAAGGAAGAGCTGAAGCATGTCTCAGTTGAACTGCAAGGGCAGAGACAGGTTAAAGGTCTGTAGCCCTCCATTAATACTGATTCTTGTACTTCTGAAACACCTGTAGGGAAGCCGGCACTCCTCCATTCCTGCATCAGAAAACAACTGCACCAGCACTCACTGCTAGCAAGAAAACTTGCTTTCTGTCAGAATTGTTCTCCCATGTCAGGCTGGCATTTATGCCTGGGACTGCCAGAAACTTTCCCATTTCCTCACCTATTTCATTCTTGTAAATTATAGTAGTTTGTCCACTTACTGTAATGGGATGAAAGGTCCACAATGCAGCACTGTGTAATTACCACCAGAAAAGCATTTTTCTTTTCCATGTGAAGAGGTAGAAGGTAGATAATGTTATAAAGGCAATGGCCTGTCTGGGGGAGGGGAAAAGACCAAACCAAAACAACATAAGTGAGCCCTGTTCATCACATTCTGTATTTCTCAGTGCAGACTCTGGAAGCAGGTCATGACAGATGCTACTAAAGCTCTTCTGATCCTATCTCAAGAACTGGGGGGCTTCAATCTTACACATAAACATCCACATAACACATATAAACATCCACATAACACATCACTGATGTCAGTCTCCTGCCTGGATAGGAAAACAGCTAAGAATTAATGACAAACCCTTCTTCCAAAAAAACTCCAAACCCTCACAATCTGTGGACCGGTACTGAGCAGCTCCTGTGTTTAACACTACAAAGAGGATGAGCTGCAAGTATCCAGAATCCAGCAAAGGAAGGTGGCAATTTGGGGGAGCAGAGCCCAAACTTTGCTATCAACTCCACAGTGAAGGCCCGAGCTAACAAGTACTGGCTGCATTGTGGCATCAAACCACAGGCTGCCTTGAGGAGGAGGAAGTTTGCATCAGTAGGAGTCCCCAGAGGCGCCCTGCGTGACTCATTCTGAATTCCTCTGAGGGCACTGGGCAAGTGTGTGATGAAAGCTGGGGTTTATGGGGGGAGGAGTAAGGATAGCTGATGTGGTGTAGTAGAGAAATGGGACAGGCTACAGGGAATTTAACGCTACTGGAACATTGATGATTTATGAGGACACAAGTTGGTTGTAGCTCTTGTGCAAGGGCACAGGTGAGGTATCACCATAAATCCTCTGCCCTTTTGCCTGAGAGAGAGAAGGGTGGCCACAGTCCAGCTATGCACTCAAATATCACCCCTGGCTTAAACCTTAAGATTACTAATGGATTAAGAAAAACTTTATAAGCAAACAGTAACTAAGGACAAGATTCCTGCTCTGAGGACAGGAATGTGTGGAAGGACCAGAAAAGGGTACTCAGATACCAGTAGGAGAGATTTCAACAGCTGTCTGGAAGGCACTAGGAGGACAGGAGGGATGGATGAGGCTGTAAAGGTGCCAGGTAGATGGTGCAATAAACAGAAGGCTGGAAGGAGCTATCTATATCAGTGGGTACAGTCTAACAAAAGAGATGACTGTCACAAATGTTTCATCCAAGTGAATCCATAGAACTTCCACCAACACAACCAGGCAGACTCATCCAAAAGCACATCAAAGTGACTGCTCAGAAACATGAAAACAAGTAGAAACAGGAGAAAGAAAAAGGAGAAAGACAAAGAGTGAATTCATAGGAGCTCAGGCATCCCTTTCTCCAGCAGCTCCTGGACAGCTCATTTCAAAACCATGCTGCATTTGCAAGTGATTATCACAGTCAAACACACTCTCTGACATCCTCTGAGGGCTGTTTTCAGAGGAAGACAGGCTTTCCTCTGCTCGCCATGCCCTGATGAAACTGTCTGACACACTTCGCAAGTGCAAATTAAAACCACGCTACTTACCATCAACCCCTTCTTGCAAATTCGTATTTGCAAAGAGAGTAAACTAGAAACCCCAGGTGTTGATGACATAAAGCCGTTGAGAGAAACTAGAGTAGGAAGGAGTTAAATTCAGAACCTCATCTACCACAAGCATTATAATACAAAATCTTTTTTTTTTCTAAATGGGAAAGCACAATAGCCTTGTTTAAACACAGATGGAAGTACCTAAATGTACTGCCTCTTCTACAAATGAATTATCCAGCAGTTCAAGTAAAGGTGAACCAATACTGACAAAATCAAGTAAAACTCAATCAAATGTGGGAGGAAAAAAACCCCAAAACACTTCTAAAAAAGTTTACCATGTATAACCATGAGTGGAATTGTTTTGCTTGGCAAATCCTGCCTTGCCTTTTTAAATGCAGAGGAGGTTTATAAACATTTTCAGGAGTTTCTTGAACCAACCATCATAGGGAAAGTCTATGGCATTGTGATAAAGCCACACTGTCCAAGGGATCTGAAGTGTCAGAGCTGGGTATCTGGATTCAAAGCTACCCTCATGGGAAAACCAAAATCCCAAGTATTTTTGATTCTTCACCCTGTAGAAATTATTTACATAAATCTTAAATTAAATTCAATGTACATCTACAGCTAAAAAGTCATTGCACAGGTACTAGGGACGAATCCTGTTGTTCTACAGAAATTAACCTATAATTCTTTGCCATTTGTCAGGGTTAAATCTTAAAAAGAGTACAGAATAATCACAGTCTACAGCATGAGCATGATTCTATATGATCAGCTGGAATCCATATGAAAAGGACTTCATTCTTTTACTTCGCACATTTGTAGAATTAATTTTATAGAATCCCTTCAGTTACTCAAGTTTCAGAGACTGAATCAAAAACGCCAATACAAAGTTTATCACATTCTATTCAATTCTCCAGACATTTTTTCATAAAGGTACAGTTGAATAGCTTTAGCCCTTTAGCTGTCAAATTATTACATACAAAGGTACATTACTCCAGCTCAGTGATTTTCAACCTTTATGCTCGGCAGCCACCAAATGTTTCTCAGAAGAGACAAGCTCCTTTATGGAGAAAGTTAATCTACTGACAATAAACACGGGTTTTTCAGTTACCTT